ATAATATATATATATATATATATATATATATATATATATAGAGAGAGAGAGAGAGAGAGAGAGAAATAATATTAACAATATTTATTGCTGCTAACTTGTATTTTAATATTTTCCATTTTTCGAAAATACATTTCACATTCATTTTTAGAAATTTCATAAATACTTCATTATCAAGTGTGAAGATGATATCTATCTCTATATATATCTATCTCTATATATATATATATAAATAAAAGAAAAAAATTACCTACTATCTTCAAACCAAAAGAATATGTGTGATTATCATGTTTGAAGATTTTGGATCCATGCACTTGTTTTAAAATATGAAATTAGAATCTCATAAGGAAAATATTTAATATTATAGATATTTATTTAAAAGTGTTTTTTTTTCCAAATTTTAATGAAATAGATGGAGAATGATGAAAGCAATTAGGGTTCTACATTATACACAGAGAAAACTTTTATCTACATCATTCAGTGATCAGATTTTATTGGCAAACAAAGTTTACATTAATGAGTGTGTGTTTATGCATACATGAACTTGGGTGTGTACAAGTTAAAAGTTCTATTTATTTCAACAGATGATTGAAAGAAGTTGTACCATTCAAAGTTACTGGCTCAAAACAGTCAGCTTAAAAGCAAATTTTTTTAAATTTGTAATTGTTTCATAATTGTTAATATTTACATCTTATGCATGGATCTACTTGTGTAGAAACGAGTTTTTGTTTGTATTTCTGTTCTTGAAGTGGAAACACCTGTGAGGGCTCTTATGCAGGTTACTACAAGAGTCACCTCCCTTTAAGTAAAACATTTGATTAGTATTAGTAATAATCATTGCTGTTTTTGGATCTAACTGTTCTATCTGTTGATTATTTCTTACAATTATTAACTGAATTTTCATAAGTTATTTATAAAATCTGCTTTAATCAAGCTACTTGTAAATTTCAATAATTGGCGTAACAAATGTCTTTTTGCAACTTATTTTCACTACATTTGTTCAATTTAATATACAGTTTAAGTCTATCAATTGAGACTTACATAAACACATTCACACTGGCTTTTATCAAGGAAAATTTGGGAGATTATTTAAGGATTTTTTATATGCCTGAATAAGTTGCTTCCAATCGTTTCTTACACAATCTATCTGAAGCCACACATTCTTGCATGTCCACAAATTTTCAGTTTATATATAATTTGATAGTGGAGTGTGATGATATTCCAATATTCAGCTAGGAGGTGATTTTATGTAATTCTCTAGTGAAAGTTTGGAAAACCTGCACACTATCAGCACTAATTAAGTATTTGCAATCTATTGACAGTGGAAAATGGTGAAAATTCAACACTATTTGGTGCACTGTGAATAGCAAGGAAAACAATGGGCAAAGTCAAAAGCCAGGATTTTTTATGGGCAATGATAATCATTTTCAGTGTCTTATGTACTCTCTTCATTAAGCCATTGGATTGAGGATATAAAATATCTTGTGAGAAATTTCTTTATTTTGGATCTTCTTACAGGAACAGGGAATTGGATTGTGCTTTAAGACAATTTGTAGATTCAATAAGATGGCTAGATATACTAAATAAGAATGCAGGGCACAATGTTCAAATTTAAATTCAAATGATTTCTAATTTGCATATACATAGATAAATTGAGATAAACTAATATTATTTTATGGAATAAAATTATATACTAAAGATATTAGAAATCATTTGAATTTAAATTTGAACAAGGTGTCCTGCATTTCTATTAGGAAATTCTATTATGAATGAAGTGAAAGTAAAGGTTTACTCTGTGATGACTAATGACATAACCTGTGATTAATTTCATATGACACCTACAAAAAAAAAAAAACTATTAAACTAGCCAATTCCAAGAACAAATTGATTTCAAACTGCATTCTTTGGCCTTTTATCATATGTAATTGCATGCTGAAGTGTACAATCAATACATTAACAAAGGCTTCAGCCATAGATTGGGCTGTAATTTCAGAAATTGGCTGAGCTTTGATTCACTTTGTTGTATGGTCAACACAGGTATAAATGTATTTTCAAAGGTACAAACATGGTTTTTATTTTGTAGATATCATGCTCTTTGTAAAGAGCATGATTATCTACAAAATAAAATTAAAATGCTAGAAACGAAATAATTAATGTGCAAACTTTGGAAAGAGCATGATTTTTTATTTACAAAATAAAAAATGTTAGAAAGGAGTATTTCTTTTTATTTTGTAAATAATCATACTCTTTTCAAAGTTCGTACAAACTTTGTGGAAAAAAAAAAATTAAGTAAAACTACACTTATCCAAAAGAAAAAATTACTTTGTTATTTTTTAATTTGTCAATATTTTCATATATCTGAAAGTTAACTTTCTTCTGGTTATTAATTTCGAAAAAAAAATGTACATTGCTTAACAGAAGTGCATATTGATTTCTGTAAGAAAATTCTATAAAGGAAGTAAACAGGCCAAATTTTATGCTTCCGCCAAAGGAAGTGGTGCAAAGTATACCGCACTGAATTACTTCTAAATAAGCCCGAAAGACCAACAAGAAGTCCGATTTTTTCTTGTTGATAACTTCAAAATGGTAGGTTTCTTCATAATTTAATTGTTACTTCAAGTTCAGCATGTACATTTACACGGAATTATGACAATTTGGGAAAATTTTAAGAGATATTTAGCGCAGGTGTAAAAAGCAAATTTACCAAATCCAAATCAATCAATCACATGGGCCTGTAAAATATTTTTTGTGGGACAGATAATTCAGATGATTATTCCTCCTGCAATAGTCATTTACTCATTATTTTTTAAATAAAAATCTAGGCTATGCCATATAATTTCATTAGTAATGAATACTATGAAATTTATAAAATATATTTTTGTCTTGTTACCTACAGGGTGCGATGGATAAATTGTCATCTTAATTTATGCAAAAATGAAAATAACACTTACAACTCATTTTAACAGATATATTTACCAAAATTACACAAAAATATCTTGAAATACTAAAGAGTAAATTTATCCAATAAAATTGCTATTAGCTTCAACCATGACCTCCATGGACTTTGGAATTTCAGGCAACTCTTATGGATGGTCTTCTTGTTTAAGTTGGTGAATGCTGCCATAATCCTTGCCTTCAAGTAATCTTTGGTATTACAAGGAGTTTTGTTGGTCTCCCACTCAACTGCACCCCACACATAATAATCAAGGGGGTTGCAGTCTGGAGAATTAGGTGGCCAGATGTAAGGGATGATGTGGTTGCAGAAATTGTCAGAAAACCCTGACTGGGTTCTCCTGCTTGTGTGGCATGGTGCAGAGTCCTGTTGTCAGACATACAGTCTTCCAGCAGCCACCCTCTTGATCCACGGCAACACTACCTCCTCAAGGTACTTGATAAAGGCCTCCGTGTTGAGTCTGAGGCCCTGTGGGAAGATGAATGGAGGCATGTTGTAATCACTCCAAATACCATGATGTTGACTGAATATATCATTCAACTCCTTCTGAATCATCTGCACTGTCCTCAGATTGCACCCAAGCAAGAAATATTCATATTGGAACTTCTGGTGCAAATGTCAAGCAGTACAGCATGCTGTTTCCAAATTTCTGGAGAAGAGAATTGTGTCATGGTGTTCTTTTTCTCACAGATGGTGCCCAATTGACCCTACTATACTGTGTAGTCAACAAAATCAAAAACAATGTGCATATGTGAAATTAAAAATATAAAATGGCGACAATTTACCCATCGCACCCTGTATATCAGACTAAAAGTTTGATTTTGTATGTTTCTATATAACATCTAAGTAGCTGAAATGGTGCAGTATGACTAGAGATATAGTATTAAGAAAGCCCTAAAATGAGATAAAAAATGCAAAAAACAAACTAGGTAATTTGCAAATGAATGGTAATATTGTAGTATCTACCATGAAATTTGGGAAAAAAATGGTTTTTCAAGGGAGGCAACTGTTAAATGCTAAATATAGAGGGCAATTGTTATTTATTTACTTATTTACCTATGAGTAAAAAATCTGGATGTAAAAAAATATTAGCTCTCCTTTTGCCCAAAATAAACGGAAGGTAATTTTGTCTTCTAAGAGGTTAAACATAGCTTAGTGCTACAAGGGATAGGAATTTGTAGAGGGTCACAGATTTTTGCCACTTGAATAAACAGGGAGAGTATCAAATAGGAGTTAGAGATGACTTTAAATTTCCAAAAATTTAAGAAATGGAAAAGGTGGGAGGTGACAAAAGTGTAAGGTGTACTTTTTACTGATGACAGAAAAAGGATCAAAATCTGGGTAGACATAGTTAAAATTTATTTACAAGTGTAAGTGCTATTTTTAATTTATTTTGTTTAAACATTATTTTTTGATACTCATATTCAAGTACTATCTCTATATTTTAATTAAACAGTATTTTTTATCCAACTACATCTACTGGCCTGAATATTTCAAGAAATCATAAGTAGATATAAAGATGAATGTATTGTATTTTGAGATATCTAAAATAATAGACTATGCTAATAATATACATTCAAGATCAATAAATATTCATTTATCACAACCTGCATTGCCTGTAGTCATGGGATTTTAAAATTGGCGATGTTTTCATCTCTTAATTTTCAAAATTTTAATAGCAAACCTCTTCCTATTTATCCTTATTATTCTCTATATTTATCATTTCTTATTTATCCATCTGCAAAGGAGTTAATTCAGTGTATCTTTTTACCTTTGGAATATTCTCTTGAAGGTTGAAACAACTATTCATAGAATTATCTAGTATTCATTAAAATCCATTGAAAGATAACAAAGTATTTTGAGTTACGTGTATTGGTCTAAAGCGGACATTTTTTGCTTTACATTTATTGGACCAGTACAAAAATATCACAAACATGTTTTTTTTTAATTTATTTTTTTTTTATGAATGCAGGTATCAAATATTGTGACATGTTAATATGATGATAAAAAAAGCAATGAAAAGTACATAAATTAAAAAAGAGGTATTTACCTTTCAGGTTTATAATCACTTTTAGAGGAATCTTTAATATTAAGCTTGTTAAATGATTCTTTAAAATTTCTGGGACTTTGCAGAGAATCAATTTCCATATCACTTTGAGAAGATAAATTGGATTTTAAATACTCTTTTTGACTTTCACCAGATTTGGAAGATTCCTTCCTTTCTCTATTTCTGATGCCCAAGGTATCACTGATTTTGTCATCCTTGTGTAGGAAACTGGGATTCCAAAATTGTGAGTCACCCCATTGCATGGTTTCATTGAGGTGAGAGGAATTCCACTTGCTCTTATAACCAGGTGTTGACTTAAAATAATTTTGCTGGAGACTGGTCTGGATATCTAAAATATTAAGAGTAAAAAAAAAAGAATAGTCATTTAAACAGAAAAATTACATTTCTCCCTTTTGGAAGGCTCATCATTGTATAATAGTCAGCTTGTGAGTTGATCCTCGCTGGGTGCTCCATAATTGAGATCTTGTGCTAGAACTAACCAAGGTTGATAAATAAAAATACTCAGTCAAATCCCCAATTCCTGACGTATCCCAAAGAGAAAATGCAAAAGGAAGAATAAGTAAGTTTTGTCTCTACCCTTATGTATACATGAGTAGAGGCACATTAAACTGAACTTATGTCAATTTTGCCCCTGTGTACAAGCAGGTAAGTACCTACTCATTATTTCTCCTTTTATTTGTACATGTTGTGTACATTACACATTAATTCCTTTAAGTTTATACATATTACTCTTTTTAAAATGTCCTTTAAATTTGCATAAGCATAAAATAATCTCAACTCTTAAATATTTCTTTATTAACTTCTTAAAAATTTCCATTTTGTAATGAAAATTCAAGACACAAAATATTTTCAAATTGAATAGTATTCACCATCTTGAACTAGCCCTGGAACCGTATCAACTAGTATAAAAATAGAATCCTAACTTAACAGAGTTAAGTCATTGTCATAACAACACAGTCAGAAACAAACTGTTACTATTACTTTTATATATAAATATCAACAATAAGCCAAGTATTATTAAAACTGTGTTCTCTTCTTTTCCATCAATTCTGTACAGTACTCATAAACTCAATATACTATACCAGTCATGACCCATTCCTTCAAAATTTCAAACAAAAATTTCATGAGGAAAGTTTTTACAAATTAAATGCTTGTAAGTGTTTGATAAAATATCTTGTAAGAAATTTCTTTATTTTGGGTCTTCTTACAGGAACAGGGAACTGGATTGTGTTTTAAAACAATTTGTAGATGGTTATTCAAGTAAGATGGCTAGATATGCTAAGAATGCAGGACACAATGTTCAAATTTAAATTCAAATAATTTCTAATTTGCATATACATAGATAAATTGAGATAAACTAATATTATTTTATGGAATAAAATTATATACTAAAGATATTAGAAATCATTTGAATTTAAATTTGAACAAGGTGTCCTGTATTTCTATTAGGAAATTCTATTATGAATTATGATGTCATAAAAAAAATATCTAACTCCCATGTACCTAAGAAAAAGAAAGAAAATGCATAATTATACATTATTCCATTTTTTAGTTGAACTTCTTTTCTACTGTGTGTCTATTCCTTTTAATACTAAAAGCATCTGATATGGTACAATGGTCAGTAAGTAATTCTTACAAGTCATTCTTAATAAGTTGGACTAAAAGCAGTGGCAACCAAAATTTACACATATAAATGACAGGTCTTCAAGGAAATGGAATGGATTTCAACAAGGTGATATTTTATATTTTTGTTTTCATATAACTGAGTAACAAAGTAGAGAAAATACACTAGTATGCATACAAAAGAAAGAAATTAAAAAAGGAATTGTGTGAGTGATACACATTTATGTCTGAAAACATTCAGTCACTAGGGGGAAAGATATTCCCATATCTGGGACAAGGTCCTAGTTGGCGTTTATCACTACTGCATGCTAGAAAGGAAAGAGAAAGAAAACAGTGTCTCATTTTTATAAATGTTTAACGATGCCCTCTAACAGCATCTTGTGAAGGCAAGTGGGAGTAACTCACAAATTCTAACTTGACTGAATGCTCCACAATTGGAATCCTGCACAAAAATTTGCCTTATTAAACAATTTTCTATCCCATCTGATACTTTTGACAGTAAAAAGAGCTAATAATTCAAAAGTTACTAAATGTGAAAAGTTGAAAGCCAATGTCTACAGTGGCATGAAGTAACAATGATTATATATTTATTCTATAGACATTCAATTTCAATACCAAAGCTGATGCAAAGAGCAAAGAATTTTCTTCCAGTGATTTCAATGCCTTTATAAATGATTAATGCTAAAAAAAAAAAAGAATGTTGTAAGCAGTTGTTCTGCTTTTAATATAGGTTTCCATATGTTGCAGTTTCTTCTGCTTTTGTTTGTTCTTGCTGCTCTCATTACCAACCATAAAATTCTCTAGACTGAAACTAAAACTATTTATTGCCTAAAAACAGAGTGTGCTATTTTTAACTTTTAACATCATTTTTTCTTTGTTTATTTGTGTAACTGCTTTACACAATGCTTTTCATTAATTAAAAAATGTTTCTATTAAATTTATTGAATGCAATTAACAATAAATTACCAATTATTTACAAAACAGAAAACTCATTAAACTATTTCATATCTGAAAGCAGCCAGAAACCAATACTGTTCCCAAGCAAGCTTCAAAGAGTTTCAGTAATTGCAAAGAAGTCAATTTTTTCACTCTACATCTTCTTGGGTCAAGTGCTATCGATTATACCTTTAGCATTCTGCATTATTTTAAAGTATTACTTTCCCCACCATTGCATTCTTTTTCAAAGTCACTGAACTGCAGTAGCCATATTATCAATTTCATTTAAGGTCATTTTCTGTTGTTATAGCAGGACATGGCAACACAACAGAGAAGTTCAAACACATTATTAGTTGCCCACAGAAGCATGAAGTTGGCTATAGAATATAAATATTTAAAATAACAACTAGATATTTACTTTTGGCAGTTTAAGTAGTTTTTCTATTATGTAAAGTTATTTTGTTTATACTTCTTTTTTTTTAAAGAAGCATGCCTAGCATAGTGGGAATTAGTATATTAAATTCAAATTCCAACAGTTGTGATTACTTCTACACAAATAACATTGAGAAAGGTATGAATCCATCTCTTCTTCCTGCAGTTTGTGATTACTAGCAGAGCAGACTGAACTTTCTATCTGTAGTTCACAACCAGTCAAGGAGAAGGAAATCTCTGAATTCAATATATTGATTGATTTCATACTGATTTGTTTTACAGCTTATCAAACTTTTGTGGGTTATTTAAAGCCAAAACATATTTTGAATTGTAGAATAAGGATGTTGCTTACAGTATCCAGTGTTCACGAAATGGTCACCCATCTAAGTACTGACCAGAGTCAATGTTGCTTAACTCCAATGATTGAACAGGAACCAGGGTTTTCCATGTGATTTGACTGTAGGCCTCTGAATTCAAAACTGGTTTTCTACTTTTTATGGAAACTACAGAAGCAATATTTAGCATGGTGAAGCTGTGACCCTACACTACATAAGGTTGGGGGGTGTCTATATAGTTAACAAAAAGATAATTTAATAAAATAATTTTGATACTTTCATGATGAATGTTTCCTTGCATTAATTGTTTTTGTAAATTACTTTGAAAAATTCAGTAGCTTTGACTTATTTGAACTCTTAAAAAAATCAATTCTAAATTCTAATTCAGATCAATCCCCAAGACGATACCCCCTGAAAGTACTAATAAGAGTAATGTCTGATAAAGGCAATAAAAGTCACAGGAACAGATCATCTTCTGGGTGACCCACCATGCATGACCCACAATACAACCATGACTTGTATGTTGGTATTGACATTAAGAGACTCTGTATCATATTTGTTTTTGTAAGGATAGCAAATAAATATTTTTAATTTAGATAATTTTAATAAATGCAAACAGTTCAAGCAGAAGATAATAAAAAATTATCTGTTTTAAAGAAACTTTTTAACAACGTTAAGGTGATGTTTTTGTTAAATTTAATAAGTTTATTAAATTATTTGATTAATTTGTTTTCTATGGCTAATCAACCCTTTCACAGGTTATTAAAACCAGGAGATATTTTTAGATTGTAAGAATTTTTTCCTTTTTTTGGAACTAATAATGGTTTAGTGATACAAGTCTTACTATTTAATCCACAGTTTGGAGGAGAAATAGATTCATACCTTTCTCAAGTGTATCTGTGTGTAAGTGAATATAATGAACCCAACTCTCTGATTAACAATTTTGAGCCATCTAGGTACTGACCCAGTTTGACATTGTTTAACTTTGGCGATCATACAGGAACTGGTGTTTCAATGTGATGTTAGCTTAATCCTTAAATTATTTGTTAATGTTTTATGCTTACTTAGAGTTTAGTAATATTTTTTTTAATGAAGATGAAAACTTAATATTTTTTCTATGGTTTTTCTTAAATCTGTTAGTATTTTATGGTTATTTAGAGTTTATTAATTTATGTGTCATTTTTTAGTGAAGATTAAAATTTGGTATTTTTTTTCAATGTAAAATCTCTTGATCTTGACAGTTCTATTTATAGTTGGTTGCATTAACTTATTATCTAGTCATTTGCTAAATTATTAATAGTTTTAAACAAAACAGTAAGTGTTATATTAGGTATGTGCAAAAGTTTCCATAAATTTTTATTAAAATTAGTTAATAATAACATATATATATATATATATATATATATATATATATATATATATATATATATTAATCATCAAAATATTTTCCTTGACTCTCTGTGAACTTAAGCCACCATTTGAATTCCATCTTGATAAAATGACTCTAATATTAGCATTAATTAAGTTGTCAATGAAATTTTGAACATTGAAGACATTTTTAAGTTTTTGACCAGATAAAAAATGCTGCTTTGATTGAAACAAATGATCATCCAAAAGTCTAGTGAATATGCTGCATGAGAAGGATTGAAGATCATGGACGGATCCAGCACTGCTTGCAATATCAATAGACATATTATCATAAAATAAATGCATGAGAAGTAAGCATTTTTCATACCGATTCCATTTTAGTTTTTTAATCAACAAATCAATGTATGAATAAGCATTATCATGAAACCATTTTTTTCTTCAATTGTAACACCAACTTCAATGTTCAATGGTCTACAGTACATTTGTCAGGTTCCAGCACAATTCTATTTTAATTAAACAGAAACAGAAAATTAAATTTGTCTTTTTAGGCCCCAATCTATGACAATACAATTGAGCTGAGCTGTATCATTTATCTAATATCATTAATTTTCAAAATGAACTTTTTATAAATTTTGAAACATTAGATTCTGAAACTTCTATATAAATCTTATATGTGGAAAAGTCTATAGGTCTCATTTCAGAAAATAAGTAGAAATGAACAGAAAATAATTGTGAATTTAAAATCAAAAGGATGATAGATCTAAAAAAAAATATTCATTTTATGAAAGGAATCTATAAAAGTTTCATCTAACTTAGCACCCTACTTTTAATATCCACACTGTCTACTGATAGTACATTGGCAGTCATAGTCTTTTACAAAAAAAAAACAATTTGTAGCAAGTGAAATGTAGGTGGTACAACAATACTTCAATCTGAAGACAATTCATGCAGGACCCATTTCTCCACTTTCTCAACTTTTCCCATACTTTACAAATGTCTTACAAATGTTGAGTTATCAACATCAAAATTTTCAGCCAATTACAAAGAGCTTGCAAATTCCCACTTACAAATTTTGTGGTCTGTTGCTATGTAGTCTGTGCTCCAAGACAAACTCACCTTTCTTGAGCATTGCAAACCATTCATGATATGCGTTACTTATAGCTATCATCTTATCCAACATGCAATATCATAGGTGTATCTTGTCTGCCACTATTTTGATTTTTTTCTCAACATAAACACTGGAAATTCTAGGGGTGGGGTTGCCTGCTCCCTCATTTTTTGATTGGCCTCTTTTTGGTTGCCCCTACAACTTTTATATGCAATAATGTAGAAATATAACTGAAAGATATTTTAAGAATCTTAGATTTCAAAAAAAATCCAAAGTCATAGTTAATTTCTGTAAAGTTTATCTTTCCTGTTCAATAACTGATATTACCTATAATTAAAAATGGATTTTCCACGTGAAAATATGTCACAATAGTTATAGCTACCACTGCTTTTTGGGAAAACTGTTTGATTTAGTAGTATTTTATTTAATAAAGTATTATAATATTTTTTTTTTAAATTTATAATAGTTGTATATTCTTACATTAATTTTAAGTTTTTCCTCCCCTTTCAGACACACACACACACACACACACACACACACACACACACACACACACACACATTAATCTTGGTCAACAAGTACCCTACTTCCCCTTTCTGATTGCTAGATACAACATTGAACAAAGGATAATAGAACAGTGAAAACCAGTTTTCAAAAATGTGTAAAGAGAACTGTTGGACATACCTAATACAAAAAAGTATGTATTATAAGTATTTCATAACTGATATAGTTTAAAGAAGAACAAAGCATGTATAAACTGTCTAGATTGATAAAAATAATTTTGAAATATGATGAAAGAGGTAAATAGAAAATAAGTTTAATTAAAAATGTTATTCAGTTATTCAACCATTGCACAAACAATTTTTTTATCATTTTTTTATGAGATCTTCAATAAGCATTGTTCATTACATCCAATGTATTTTTAAACACAAACTGAAGTTTTAGGGGTGGAACAGAAATTTCCCAGTATAATTGTTATGTAACAAATAACTGAGATTATTTGCAGAAATTAATCACTGGTATTATTGTAGGGATACGAAAGCTGATTATCTCCTTTAGATGGAGATGAACTTACATGGGTCACGTGACAACCACTTAATGACATCACTTCATACGGAGACAAAAGTGATTAGTTAGCTTCAAGGAGTCAAACCAAGCAGTTGTTTTTTGGCCCCGAGCTGAGGTTAAATCTGCCGCCTCCAACATGTGGTGAAGCTTACAAGCCCATGGTGCTGTTTCCCTTTTGGAATATATATCTTCCCCAGACATAAAAAGAAACTATCTCTGGCTTGCAGTCCTAATGTTGGGAAAACCCCCAGGACTCACCATTTCCCATTTGTGGAATATGTCCTCAATAGTGCCATAGCAGATTAATCTGTCCCGCCCAAATCTGGAATCCTAAATAGGGCTTCTCCAGAAACACAGAAAAATCTCCATATTATATATAAGACTGTATCTTTCCATTCTCTTTTCACTTTTCTTGTTGTGCTATAGTTTCTCTGTAAACATGTGTAAATATGTATATATAGTTTTGTGTATTGTGACACCAAGCTGTTGGACTGTGGTCAACTCCCAGTCGCAGCACGAAGCTGTAATGTTTCTGCCACTGGTGTTTTGGGGTTGACTCCTAGTCACTGCTGCCAGCCTGTGTCCCGGTCGATCGGTGGTTGACGCTGGTCGGCGGAATCTCTTGATCAGGGTACCAATATGTGACACTGGTCCATCCAGGGTCGAATTCTGGTCATCAATGCTAATGGCGTTACACCAGCTGCAACCGGTTCAATACCAACTCCGTCATTCCCAGCTCACTTCCAATGTCTGATTACTGGAGCAACTGCTTCGATATCAAGTCTAACCTACCCACGTTGTGATTTTGATCTTAAGTAGATGAGATCAATCAGGCATCGGGCCGTAGTATAAGCTGAGTCCAGACTGAAGGTGATATCACACAAGTATAAAGAAAAAGAAGCAAATAAAAGAAAAACCCAAGAGGTTCAAGTATGTTAAGAAATAACAAATTAACTTTATCCGTCTGTTATATACAGGAGTGTATTTCTGTCCCAGCCCGTTTTCTATGGAATATGACACTTTTACATTTCAAGCAAGTTTTGATATCTTAAGTCAACTGATTTAGTTCTTAGGTGCTGGCTTGGCTTCGTTCGTCAGTATAAGTTGCTATTGGTAGGATAGGCGAAATTGGAGGTCGTGGAATCTCTTGGTCAGCTTCTGCGAGGCAACACTCTGGTTCCCGCTACTTGAACTGAACTGACTTGACTCTCTGACTGACTGACTCAACTGACTCCTACTAACCTGATTAACTGTTGAACGGCCCAAGGAAGTTCGTTTATATGGGTACCGACCAAAACCTGATGCGGGACCAGACGCAGCCTTGGATTCCCAACAAGAAATGTCTTTGTTGTCAGGCCAGGAAAATTGATTACTTCCCTTTTTTGGAAAATTAATCACTTTCCATTTTGGGAGATCTCCCTCGTTCATGAGGGGAGGTCGGAGGAGAGCTATACTCCTAAACTCTTCCTCTCTCACATTGATATCTCATACCAATCCCTTTAGTGGGCATTAATAACTTCTCTGTCCTTCTCATCCATTCACTTCTGCCTATCACAATTTCTACCACTCAACCAATGGCATCCCAGCCATGCAGGTGTGGCTAAGCTGGCCTCCTTAAAATTATAATCCAGAATTACAAAATTCTCCTTTTCCCCATCGGTCAAAATTTTTACAAATGTCATATTGACACTTAAAATCTATCATATCTTTTGGTCACTCAGAATCCACTTAGCCACTTAAAAAAATGATATCTTGGAAAGATAATTAATATTGATTCTCCCTACCCTGTATCAGTAATCGTCTCAGGCCAAAATTTTTATGATTGCCATGTGGTCTGCCTGATATCTTAATGCTTTGTTTATCCTTATCATTCTCCCATTTTTCTCGGCAAGGCACTTCTTTACAACAATATTAATCAATTTGATAAGATCTCATATATGGCTTTTTCTCTGGGTTTACTGTCTTTTGTGATAAGTATCTTTTGGAAATAAAATAAAATCTTCTTAACATCGAACGGTATATCTTTTGGGATAACTTCTTTCCGCCTTCAGTATTTCCTGTTTTAATTTCTATGGTTAATTAGTTAGCCAATTACCATAGCTAAATAGTGTCACAGTATGACTTAGCATTATAAAACTCTGAGAACAAAGCATGTTTGTCATTCCTTTTCCTTTCAGACATTCTATTTCATATATAAAATGTGGTGTTGTTATATCATGGGTATAATAATGCCCATAATGAGGGAAATACCAATGGGAGAATATAGCTTTCTTCCATAGCTCACACATTATCAGGGTCAACCCTATGTGACATGATATTATTTAGTGTCCATTATTATTAATAAATCTTTGGGCATATACAGTCGATTAGGACTGAAAGGATAGCTTCAGTAAAAAACAAAAAATAAACTCAATCAGTACATATTTTCAAACTACTGTCTTCATTTTTTATTATCTTTCATGCATCTGGTCTTTAGAATTCAATAAGTACTTTTCATCTTCATTTATTCTCCTTTTCATCTTCTCAAGTAGACAATTAAAACTGCAATTTTGTTGGTCTTGTGTTGTAGCTGAGGAGATGAAAAGTATGACAAAATAAATATTATGTGAATTAATTCTAAAGACCAGATACAGCAAAGTATGCCAATAAATGTACTGGCTGAAATGTCACATAAAAAGCAACAAAGATGAAATCAATAATTTACTTGATCTTAGAGCATCAAAAATTAACTTACCATCTTCACCATCACTGATAACTATGCTGTCTTGATTAAAATCTGTAGGAGAAGGACTAAGTGCTGTGGTCAGTCCACGTGCATGCCTTTCTTTCATTTTTGCCTCAAGTTCTAGTTGGAAGCTGTTCTTTTTTGGTGCTTGATGAGTTTCCTCTTTCATTGTTAGAATCTGAAAAAAGTAAATGGGTAAATATTTTGGGAATATTTGAATTAATGTAAACATTGTTCAGAATCATCACTTTTTTATATAATACACACACACACACACATTGCTCAAAAAATAATGCCTCCTATTTATTTCAGCAGAAACTACAATAGATACAGGGAACACAATAACCCTGTTGGATAGGGCAAGTTTTCAGCTACAAAACACTATTTTTACACAGTCATTACTATTGGTTATACACTTTCATTAGCATTGAACAAGAGTCTGTATGCCAAGATCATAAGAATCTGTAACTGCAGAGATGACTTACACATCACTGTTGCTACTGTTAAAATGCATTCGCTTGTTGGAAATCCTCTTCTGTAGTTCCAATCTTTAAGAACTCAGATGAATGGTCTGATCCTTCTATCAGCCTATTATCTGTTTTTGGCAAAGTACTAGAGCCATTAATCAACTCTGGATTGGTTAATGTTATGTCTTCATTCCACTGAATGAAGATAACAAAATCAAGAAATATAATGTGTGGAGTTGATGTAGTCTTGCCGAAATTGGTAGTAAGCAGATAAGCTAGATCTCTCTCACGCTCTCTTGACAATTGTGTCAGTATTTATACTGTTTGAATGAGTCCATGTCATATTCAGGTGAAGTGTGTTCATCTTCACAACACCTTCCCTTTTCAGATATGCACTTTCTTTCGTTAGTACTTTTTCTAACATACTTCTACTTCCAACCTTTCAGTTGGATCACATTTTCACTTATCCTGGCATCATATTTTAATTTCAGTTTTAGGAATAGGTACTTCAAAGGTATCATAAAGTATGTCCATCAGTTAATTTAAATTGTACTAGTTGCTCATTTTTTTGTTTACCTAGACCTTAATTGATTTATATTTCTTTTACAATGAAATCTTACACCATTTGACAGTGTATATCATTCTACCAAGGTGTTGAATAATTTTTCCTTCCTGACAATTTTCCTTTCCAGCCTTAAAGCTTTTAAAGAAAACTTTACCACTAATCTTAAATGAGGTGGGAGTTTAAAAATGTCTCACTTTCTTTTTATTCCCTGTCAGTAATTTGCCAAAAATGGATCTAACTCCTAGCAAACATGAGCTCTGCAAGTAACATTTTCACAGTGATGTTTGCATTTGACCTCATTCGATACATGCTCAAAAATTCTTGTAGAGCTGTTCATTCAGCTTCTAAGTCTTTAGCTTTTCTTAATGGCCTTTTGAAGATGTTAATAAACTATTCTGCTTGACCATTCGACCTTGGATGACAAATCGGTATTGTCAAATGTTTGACCACGTACTTTTTGAAAGATTTTTTAAACTCACTAGAAGTAAATTGAGTTCTCTTATCAGATACCACACTGTCAAGTACTCCAAACCTTGCCACAAAGTTTACACAAGAATTTAATTGTTATTGCAGTAGTAGGTTTTTACCCATTAATATCTCAGGCCATTTTATGAAACTGTCAACCACAAATAGTATGAACCGTTTAGTGGTCCAGCAAAGTCCATATGAGTTTTCCCACAGTTTATCAGTGTTCAGCCATGTTGGATAATTTATAGGTGGTGATTTTGCTGCTGAATTACACCCATTACATTTTTTAACTGTATTTTGGATATCTCTGTCCAACTTTGGCCAATACATGTAGCTTTTCATCAGGGACTTCATCTGCACTATTCCTGGATGTCCTATGTGGAACTGTTTTAAAATCCCTTTTTGTAGTGATAACAGAATTACTATTTCTGCATACAAAAGTACTCCATCACAAATAAAAAATGCTTTATTATTGTTACTAGGTTTAATTTCAGTTTTACGCCATTTCATCTTCATAGTTTTTTGAATAAACATATCCTTTTCAGAATGAATTTTGATATTGTCTATCATCATAGACAATTCACCAGGCTTTTAATTTTGCTTTTGGATTCCAACAAAGGCATCATAGTATCTTCAAAATCTTCTTTACATTTCAATATCAATCTAGATAAGCAATCTGTGTGTCTCAATTTCTTTGACAATAGAAATTCCATCTTGAAATAATAATTCAACAGAATCATAGCCTGATGCTATAGTCTGTTGTATGTGTGGGAATCCCTTTCTTAGAACTGAATATACTTAATAAGAGATGATGATTAGTTTGCAGTATGAATTTTCTTCCTAATATCATCCTGTGAAAATTCTTTTATAGCAAAAATTACATCTTCCATTTCAATTTGACCATAGCATTTTTCTGTATTTGTCAAACATCTTGAAGCATGGGCAACTGCTTTTACTGTACAGTCTTTGAATTTATGGCCTATTACTGCTCCTATGCTGTATTTGCTCATGTCCAATACTATTATTTGTCAGTACGGTTCATAATGTGTTAGTGATAACTCTGAAGTTAGTAGTATTTTAATTTTTTCAAAAGCTTTTTAACATTCTGCCAGCCAATTCCATTTCGTACCCTTCTTAAGTAATTTATTCAGAAGTGCTTGCAAGTTGTACATATCTAACACATAATTATTATAATAATTCACTAATCCATTATTTGATGGAAAATACCTGGGGGTATTTTTACACCAAAGGGTAATCTTTTAAACATGTAGAGTCTTTTATACATATTAATAGTCAAAAACCTCTGGCATCCCTCATTCACTTAAATTTGATGACAGGTCAATTTTATTAAAAAATTTACCATTTAATTTAGCAAATATATCTTGTGAAGTTAGGGGATATGCATGTGGTAGTCATTCAGCCCAGTTGAAAAATCTGTACATAAATGAATGTTATTATTTTTCTTTCTAATATAAAACACTAACATGGCCTATTCTGAATAATCTATTTTTTCAATAACTTCATGGTTTTCTAACCTATCAAGTTCAGTGTTAATAGACTCCAATGCAGCAAAAGGTATATTTCTTTTAGGCTTAAACACTGGTATCACATTTTCTTTTAATGTAAAAATGCCTTTGACTTTGTACATTTTCCCAACTCCTCTGAGAAAATATTTATGAATTTATTTTTTAGTTTATTCAGTGTTTCTTGTAACCTTTTTTTCTAATGAACAATTAATTTTCCACAGAATGAATTAATCAGCCAATTCCATAGTTCAAATAATTCTAGCCAATCAATGCCTAGTAAATTTGGAATTTTTTAATACATAAACATCTGTTTTTTTAGTTTTACCTGCAAGAGCAATGTTACAGATGATTTTCCCAAGAACAATTAATTTCTTACCCGATGTTCCTCTTGCAACTTTGTCAGTTTTTCTCAAGTTAGGCTTGCCAATTCTGTTCCCAGTTTATTCATCAATAAGTGTAATATCACTACCAGTGTCCAATTAAAATCTTACCATGGCATTATTCCTTTGTACTGTCACAAATTTTCTCTTATTAGAACTTCACATTTTTTTAGCTGATAGCACTACTTTCAGCAAATTAATTTTGTATTTCTTTTGTTTTTCAGCTTACAGTAGCTTCGTTTGTGACCTGTTTTTCCACAATTAAAACATTTTTTGTTTTAAACAGACAGTCCTTTCAGAAATGAAGCATACCACAGCCATAGTATGGATTAAGTTTTGCATATTTTTTATTCCAGATTTTTTCTTTTGGTACTACTACCTTTTTTTAACTACTTGTACTTCTGCCATACCATTTTGCTTGATTTTTGCTGTATCGTGCCTTAAATTGACAATTTTTTGGTACTTTTCCACAACAGTCTGTATCATTAACTTTGAATCCTGTTCAAGTTTTGTAATATTTCCATATTGTTGCTTGATGTTAGACCTTTAATAAAGATTAGACATTTCAATCTGTCTAGGGATAATTCATCTAGGTTAAATTTCTCACATGCACAGCTGACTTTACCAGCACATGTGACAAAATCTTCATTTTCATCCTTAATAAGGTTCATGCATTGTCAACATGTATAAAAAAATTGAATTCTTTTCACCAAAGATTTTAGTTAATATCAACCCTGTTTTGTTAAATGGCACTTTTTCTATAGTATTCAGCAAAATGAAATTCAGATATTTTTCTTGTTCAGCAGGGCACAATTTTCATAATAGAAATTGGACTTTCTTTTCATCTGACCATCCTTGCCAGTCTTCTCTGAAAATAGTCTTTCAAATTATATCAAAAACCTACCCCTACCAAAATCATAATAATACAATCTACTCTTACAAAAATCATAATAAAGCCAACGCCAAAAAAAAATCTACCTTCACCAAAGTAAATAAATACATAAAATAATAATAGCTAACAAGAAATTTCATAGTATTTTTTAAAATGTTTTCATACAACAGTGACCTTGAAGTGCACATGCAAATTCATCTTTTCACTGCTAATGTAAACTTTAAACACTTTACCTAGCGATTTGCATCATATCATTTATATAAAATAAGGTAATGAAAGTGCAAAAACAGTTAATGTCTCTGTATTTTTCAAATAAATTTTTATGACATTCGTTTCCTTTAATCATGTAGAGCAGGACCCATAAAAATTCCATTGTTTTAGCTCATTTTTATTTCTGAAAAACTAAATCATTTTAGGCGGGCACATTTCATATTGCTATATCATTTCCCTGAAGCAGACATTAAACACACAAGGGCATTATTACTTCCTCTAACTTCTCTCTCTTATTTCCTTTTTTTTCTAGAAATACATATGTACTGCTTCAACACATTCCAGAATGAGGCCTGCTGGCAGTTAAAAAAAAAATAGTTAGAGATTTACTATGTCCACTGATGCTATACCAACAATTTCTGGGCAGGGGACAAGCAAGCTATTGCAGAGTATAATGTGCATGCTAAGGAACAAGCAGAATTATAATATGGTAATTACAAAAAATAATGGTCCACAACCAAACTAAAGTATATCTTTTGTATTGTCAGCTTAATGACCCATATAACCAAGCTTATCACCTGAATTCTAATGAACAGAGCATTTAGCAGAACTAGACCAGAAATAGGAGAAGAATAGTAGTTTCATTAAAGACACTGGAACAAGAAATGCATTAGTTATGATCAGAATGATATCAGAAAGAGCAATACAAATGCAGAAGGCTGTATACCTATGTTTCATAGACTATGCAAAAGCATTTGATAAGGTATAACACAAAAATCTATTTGAACAGTTAGCAAAACTCAATTTACTTGGGCAGGATATTAGAATAATCCAGAACTTACACTGGGAGCAAACCATCTGAATACAGATAGAAAATGAATTGTGTAAGTACACAAAAATAGAAAGGTAATCCTAAGAGAACTAGAAATCCTATCAAGATTTATTATTGGTGGACACAATCTTAACCACATATGTAGATGACACTGTGATGATGGCAGGCATAGAATGAAAACTTACAGACATGGTGGTAAAGGAAAGTGAGAAGAAAAAATTAACCATAAAAAAGGAGAGTGGTTGTAAGCAAGAGAAACAGCCCAAGATGTAAGCTACAAACTGGAGATATCAAAGTCAAGCAAGTATGGAAGTTTAAATATCTGGGAAGTGTTTTGATAAATGACAGAAAATGTACATAAAATCTGAAGGCACATTGAAATAGCAACAGAAACATTACAAAAGTTAAACAAAGTATTAAGAAAATTGTGTTGAATTACTATGTAATGTCAGCGAATACTGTACAATTTCCTCACAGATGAAGAGATTTGAGTCAACAGAAATGTGGTTATACAGAAGGGTGCTGATAATAGCATAGATGGAACATGTGAGCAATGAGGAAGTTTTAAGGAAAATGGAAACCAAAAGGAAATTTAGAATCAGAAAAGACAGTTAAAATTTCCAAGATATAAAATAAGGAAAAATGGTATGAAAAATTTAACACTCACAGGACATATTGAAAACAAAAGAAACAAAGGGAAACAATGAGTAACCTAATTAATGAAGAGGGACTGAGAGGGTTAGTGAAAAGACAAACTTTATTAAGAGTTACAAAGGATAGGAAGTAGTGGAGAGTCATGATTGTCCATATCATGAAGGAACATGGCACATAGATGATTATATTTATAATATTACTTTTTGCACTCTTTCTTCACAGGAACTAAATAATGATTGTTTTACTCTGTTGCAAATTAGATCTCTTTCTGATTCACTCAACATATCAACCAGATGAGAGTGTTATGAAAGCAAAACCCAAAATAAAAACATCTTCTGCACAGGGACTCTGAGCATTAGATCCAGCCCATACAAAAAAAAACAAAAAAAACTGCAAAAATCTAAAATATAATATAAAGTAATTCAAGCATGAATGTTGCTACCAAAGAAGAATGAGCTCAGGAGCCACTAGACACAGAATGTAGCAAACAGGCCAGCTGTTGATACCTGGCAGGCTGTCGATGTCATCACCATGATTTCAGTCAACTGACCTGACACACATATCCACTTGAGACCTTTAAACATCTGCATCAATCTCACAGACATTCTGCTCGCATCCTCTGTATCAGCAAAGTTAGATTCATGGCTTCATTAATCCACTCCACCCTCTCTCTCCATCAACACCATTACCTCACTCAATCGACCCGACAAATCTGTCAACTCCAGGCCTTATACGGCAACTAAAGAACCATTTTCTCATCAATTATTTTATCTTTTCACACTGCCTCATGGTCTGGTTATTGCTGTTTTTGTTTTTTTTTCTCCCATCTGACGAGAACCCCAAAATAAAATAGATATTTCCATTTGATAAGGGATTCACTAATCCATTCCAGGCCTCTCTTGTCATCACCACCATAATTTTGGTCAACCGACCTGCCAAAAGCATCAACTCCAGGCCTGACCAACATTCAAAATTGCCACACCTTGCACAATAGAAACATTCTGCTTGCATCAGTTGTATTAGCAAATACAAAATAATTTTATATTTACAATTTTTGTCCTCTTTTCGCCTCAGTGGCAGTATTATTTTGTTTGTTCTCCCGTGCTACCATAAGTGTGTTTATAACAATGTAATATAGTAACAACTCTAAGTAAAAGCTTATGAAGCTTTATTTGCCTAATTCTGCTTTAGCATTGAAAACGTTTATTTTTTTTTTAAATAGTGGATGGTTACAAACGAGAGGGGAGATGGGATGTGCATATTTTATTACACAAACATGATTAAAAAAAAAGGCAAAACCTCTAGTCTACAATTCCCATTAGGTAAACTAATTAATAAATAAACCCTTGCTTCATGATGCGCATTTTTTTAGTTTAATGATTATTTTCACAATGGGATTTTTCCTTTCCGCGAGTATTACAGAGATAAATTAAAAGATGGAATACGTTTTTAAATTGCAGCCACAACTGTATGGTAGTACAATTAACACAAAAAAATTTAAACTTTATGGAACAAAAACAAAAGTAAAAACTGACAAATATCTTCCACGTGTAATAAATATTAATAAAAAAAATATTAAAAGTTATTTTTAAATAGAAACTCTTTTTTGGTTTGCTTTAGTGATGATGAAGTGAAGTTTAAAATTTAATACTTCAAGCGACAGCAAAGTCAACACTTAACATAACGTGTATATAAAAATATTTAGTAAGTAAAAAAAATAATTTTATTGATAATTATCACATTTACACAAAAAATAATTATACATACCATCCAATGATGCACTTTTATTTTATTTCTTTTTAGTCATCTATCTTCAAAATGATTTCGTTTTCTTTTTTTCTTTTTTTTCGACTTTCGCTTTTGTCGAAAATTACAAGTTACTGTACCACAGCTTTCCCTGGTGTGAGAGAGAGTATAAAACTTAGTTTTACTCGGTCCCAAGGAGAGAAGAGATATTGTCGAAGGTCTACTACTGAAACCTAAAATTATACACGCCATAATCATCCAAAATACTAAAAAACAGTTATATAGGATTTGTTTCCTCCCAAAGGTTAAAGAAAGTTTTTTATGCTTTTTATTTTACGGAAATCGAAATTACGACTAGAAAAATGTTATTTCTTTATTTATGTAATTATTTATTTTGTTAATTCTATATAAAAATCTACATTTATTTTAATTAGCCATGGTGGCGTGTAAAAAACAAAGACTAAAAGAAAGAGGAAAAGAGGATCGTATTAGTAAAAAAGAAAATCTGTCTTCTTACCTGTCTCCAAAAATGCAAGTTATTTTAGTATATTATTATTCATAATTAGAGGAAATCTACACCAAACTGACCCAAGAGGCTAAAGATTTGCCAGGCATTGAAAATCTTTCGTTTATCTAAATGCCATAGCCATAATGTTTTTTTGTTTCTATGGAGATTAACATTCGATCGGTGCTGTCAAGTGTGTAAAGTTGATGATTGCCTGTTGTGTTGTACTTAAAACTTCAAAACATTACAGTGTACACCAAGCAAACAGTTAACAGAAGTCATCAATATTTTCGTCATACACCTTAATAAAATGCAAAATGTATTACTTTTGGTGGAGTTCAATTTCTCCATCTCAACTTTGAAAACTTTGCAAAAAAAACAATATCCGCGAGAAAACTTTCGGCGTTTAACAATTTTGTTACTAATCAATCAATTATCTCCCTTGAAAAGTTTCCGCAAGAAATCATCGGACGTGATGTCAATTTTTAGAGATATGTACATTTTTTTAATGAAAATAAATCTTACGGAATTTAAAATAAAAATTAGGATTAAAATTATTTTGATGAAACCAGATTAACTGTGATATAATTATTATATCTTACGAAATATTTAAAATAACAATCAAATTATAACAGAAATCAAATAAAATACTACTAAGTAAATTTTACTTGGATATAATAACAATGATGACGATCATCATCATTCATTAATGGCAAAAAGTATTTACTAGATTTATCATTTTATTATTAATTTGTTTTATTATTCCAACATTATTCTTATTATATGGTTACTTTAAGTTTACATATACTATTAAAAATGATTATTTTAAGTTATTGTCAGTATTAGAAGGTTTTTATATGTAAATATTTAAATATACTTCTCCAATTGTTATTGTTGTTTTCTGCTCTTTCACAGAGATTTTCACTTCCTGGCTTTGTAAACATCTTGGAACAACTCACTATGTTAAAGCAGAGATTGCCTCTTGGCGTTGCCAACGTAAATGAAATAGCTCTAGTAAAGGGGAAAATTACAAACATTATAGACAAATAGACACTTTGCATATTATTTTAGTTTTTTTTACAATAAATATATATAAAATTAATTGTTTGTTTTATTTGTCATAAATTGGTAAAACTCAACTGTTACTATTTCAAGACAAGTGCATATATGTAAATATATATGTACCAAGGCATGCCTATAACTATTTAGGTATTACTTTATGTACCATTTAGATATCACCTTGATAGCTGTTTAGGTATTGCATTGATATGTACCATTTAGGCATCACCATGGTACTTATTTAGGTTGTGGGGGATTCATTCACATCATAGCAGCAGAAATTAGCTTCAGAGATAAAAGCATACTTGACAGGGAATAAAATATATAGAAATAACAGGAAAGCATGGTAAATTGCATGTTGATTTCCTACAGTTTATTTATATTTTTCTTCTGTGTATTAGTGTGTGTATTCTTTAGGTTACAATTGTTTTATGGTATATGTGATAAAAAGGAGAAATTACTGTGTTATTACACGCCATATCACAGAGAGAAGTCAGACATCTGTTGCTCATATCAAGGTTTATGGTGAAGAGGTTGAATTTAACATCTTTTGGTGGGTTGTCTGTATTTCTGGAAGAAACAGTTTTTGTTGCATGATGGCAATATTTTTATTGTTTTTAATTTTTATTTAATTTAATTTATACAACATTTTTATGTTATTGTTTTATTTTATTTATAATTTTTATTATTATTTTATATTTTATTTTTATTTATTTATAATAATAATGTTCCTACGAGGTATTGATAGGTAACATTTAAGCAATTTTTTTTAATCATTTCAACCCAAGCAAGGCAATAAAGCCACTAGGATGCAGGGGGCTACTGATTGTAAAAGAATATGAGAAAAACTACTATTCAGGAGATAGAAAAATAAAATAACAAAAATTAAAAAGACAGAAGATAACTATTGACATTGCATTTAAATTTTTGAAAATCAAAGTTGACTGGAAAGTAAGAAGCTGGAAGAGAGTTCCACAAGCAAGAAGTGCGAGAAGAAACTGCAGTTGCACCTAGCCATTTCAACTGTAAAATGATGAGATCTTGCCAGCAATCTAGTACTGCACTTAATTTTATAAAGTCTAGGTGCCATAGAGGAAAGTTCATCAAAACAATTACCACAAAAGTATTTATAGAAAAAGCACAGGGAAGCTATTTTACAGCGATGAGAAAGGGACTGAATCTGAGATGCCAGGTCAGGACCAATAACATGGCAGATTCTTCTTTGGATTTTATCAAGAATTTCTAAATATATAGCAGGAGCACCAGACCAAATGTGGCAGCAATATTCAAAGCATGGACAAATGGTAGACTTATGTAAGATAGATTCTAGCATGACACAGTAAACCAACTTTCCTAGAAGCAGACCTAGCAATTGATTCAATATACTTTTTCCACTTCATGTTAGCTAAAAACGTTAGTTTGAGAAGGTACAACACATCACTCTCATGGAGGTTAGCATCAGCCAAGCTGATGGAAGGTAAAAAGAGTTCTCTCGGATGATTAAAAGAGAGTAGTTTTGTTTTGGAGACATTAAAAGTAACAAGCCACTCTTTACCCCATTTAACAACAGATTATAGTGTGGAATCGCACAGGAATTCCACCTACTTTTACGTGCGTACGCGGACTGCACCTCTTCCTTTTACATTCGGATAGACATAGTAGTAAACCAGCCTGTCTGTTGCCGATGTGAGGTTACTGGCTGCTCCTGATTCCAGCTAGAACAGAATTTGAAGTTTTCCCGTGCATTTCTCTGACGTCACTGACAAACTTTGTTTTTCAAGTCAGTCGCTGCATGTTTACAGAACAAGAAGGTTGACTCATTTATTTTGTGCCCCTTACCCATACATGGGCTGGAATATCTTAACTAACCAAAAACTTCCTAGTGACTTCTTGGTTCATTATGCCGAATATTTTTCCTGTGATTGCAACTTGTTTTGAACAACATGTTTGAACCTTCCTCCATTTTCTACCAGAGAATGTAGAGTCTACGACACTGTCGTCATCACACTTTTAAGACTAATTCCTTCTCCTTCAGCGAACAACTTGTTCGAACTTTCCTCCATTCTCTATTAGGGAATGTAGAGTTTTTCGACACGGTCGATTGATGAACTTCACATAACTCTTTTGAACTCTCACCTTTATGAACCAGTTTAAAAAAAAGATAACATTACACACACATTATAAAATCTCGCAGTGAGTATTTTTCCTTGTTGTGCATGCATGCACCTTTTGTATAAGAAGACTATATTCCAGAACTTTCCTTCTGAAAAACTTTTCCCGCCTTAGCCATTTTGATTTTCATTTTGGCATGGAACATTAACTTCCTACTTGTCACTACATTATACAATTTGCCTACTGGCTAAGAACAGCCTTTGCTTTTCTGATGGTCTCCATTGTGTGAGACGAAATATTAGTTATTAAAATAAAGTTTTATATTTGTCTTCCACCAGACTCGTTTTCGTCGTTTCCTCCTGGCTATCTATATTTTACTATTTTTATGCATGTGTTGAATGACCCTTTTTCCTCTCTAAAGATCACACATTTATTATTTTTACTTTGTTAGTGGATTCGGTAGTCGTGAGTAGTGTCTGGCACAAGGCCACCTTTTTGTAGGCCTGCTCTGCATGCTACCGGGTCTGCTACAAGATTGGTGACCTTCTCGACGTGATCCTGAGGAACTTTTTCCCGCCTTAGCCATTTTGATTTTCGTTTTGGCGCGGAACATTAACATTCTACTAGTCACTACATTATACAATTTGCCTACTGGCTAAGAACAGCCTTTACTTTTTCTGATAGTCTCCACTGTTGAGACAAAATATTTGTTATTAAAATAAAGTTTTATGGTTTGTTTTACCACCAGATTCGTTTTCGTCGTTTCCTCATGGCTATCTATATTTTATCTTTGTATGCACGTGTTGAATGACCCTTTTTCCTCACTAAAGATCACACATGCCAGATTTTGTCTATTTTCAAAAGAAGTTGCTACTAGTTACTTTTGAAGTCTTCTTTGAACAATCAGATGTCAGTTTATCTGGAAAGAAACAATGCAATTATTAATAAAAGTTGAAATTAATGTATGCAAAATTTCACAGCTCTAGTATCATGCCTTCATAGTTAGCCTATGAACTTTTCAATCTACCCTCATACTGTTTAGGTAAAACCTTGATACTCGTTTAGGTATTGCCTTGATAAGTATTATTTAGGTATCACCTTGATATGTACCTAAATCTTTCTCTTTCTATATAATTGGCCCTTTGTATCCACAGGTTTCACATCAACAAATTCAACCAACCATAAATTGAAAATGTAGCAATGTGGTGTTACTGGATTTTAATGGAAAACTTTCAAAGTAAATGAATTCAACATTTTTAAAGAAAATGAATTTCAACATGTGAAGGAAATTTTATAAATCACATTATAATTCTGCTTGTTCCTTAGTTAGTTAGCACATCCATTATGC